TAAAATTAAAAAAAAAAAAAAAAAAGAAATAGCCTGGCCGGGCGTGGCTCAGCGGTTGAGGGTTGACCTAGGATCCAGGTGATCAGGGTTCGATTCCCGGTCAGGGCACATGCCCGGGTTGCGGGCTGCAGCGGATCAATGACTCTCTCATCATTGATGTTTCTATCTCTCTCTCTCCCTCTCCCTTCCTCTCTCTGAAATCAATAAAGATATATTTTAAAAATAAATAAATAAATAAATAAATAAATATATACTGTTCTAAGAGGGAAAATAAGACCTGTAAAATTGTAACAGTTTACTTCAAAATGATGACCAACATATAGGGAGCTTGATGACTTGGTATATTTATTTCATGTAACTCAGCTTTCCTGGCCTGGTTTTTACCAGTGCAATAGAAAGGTGAGATAAGAATGATAAATAGGAAACCTACTTCAGTCTGGCAAAATCAGATTTGCTGTAATGCACAGTGTTATCTAAGTAGGAGAAAAACAAATGTTAATGTGTGGGGTATTTACATGCTCATCCCTTTAAAGTTTATAACTGGAAGTCCCTAAGTTATGTTAGGGGTTGCAATTATACAGACCACAATGGCCTTAATGCCACCATATTCTAAGGTGAATTCTCTCATCTTGGCATTTCATACATTTGCCATTGAAAAAGCTGCATTAATCCTTCTCCTATAAGCAGATAATGTTAACTGTAATATGAATGATAAAACATACAACGTGAGTCAAAAGAAAGGCAAAACCATACATGGAGGAAGCAAGGAAAAAAATCATGGCAAACAATGGTTTTATAAGCTTCGGTGATACTTATATTCAAGAACTTATAGAAATTATTTGAACCTGTATTATATCATGAAGGTTTTATTTTTTTTAAAATGTCTTTATTGATTTCAGATAGAGGAAGGGAGATGAAGAGAGAGAAACATCAATGATGAGAGAGTCATTGATTGGCTGCCTCCTGCACGCCCCTACTGGGGACCAAGCCTGCAGCCCCAGCAAGTGCCCTGACCAGGAATCTAACTGTGATCTCCTGGATCCTAAGCTGATGCTCAACTGCTGAGCCACTCCACAGGAGGACACCATGAAGGTTTTAAACTTAAATCCAATTCTATACAGAAAGTTTAGGCCTTTCAAAGCTTATAAAAATTACATCTTTTTATCTTTGTTTAAACATAGAGATCTGGTATAGGTCTGAAAGGATGGGTAGATGTGAAATATGGGTAGGTTTGAGATGAGAGAATGCCTGGCATGTCTGGCTAGAGGGGAATAAGCAGGCGTTTCAGTAGCAAGAGATAAGAACAGGCAAGAAGAGGACCAATGTGTAGTTTCCTGTCTGTCTTTCATTCTCCTTTACCTAATCATCATGCTGTCACTGCTGCCATGATCAGATGATCAAAATATCTTCAGCCCTGCTGGAGTGGATCAGCAGTTGAGCATCAACCTATGATCCAGGAGATCAAGGTTCAATTCCTGGTGAGGGCACATGCCCAGGTTTCGGGATACATCCCCAGCAGGGGGCNCAGGAGATCAAGGTTCAATTCCTGGTCAGGGCACATGCCCAGGTTGCGGGATACATCCCCAGCAGGGGGTGTGCAGGAGGCAGGCGATTAATGACTCTCTCTCATCATTGCTGTTTCTCTCTCCCTCTCCCTCTTAAAAAACATTTAAATATATATTTATCTCTCTCTTCATTTCCCTCCCTATGAACTTGGATTCTATTCACCAATAAACTGTGGTGCCCTGAGGTCCATGGAACGACCACAGATAAGAATCTGGAGGGTAAAGGCAGGAAGACCTGAAAGGGGCTATTTCCTGTTATCTTACTGTTCCCATCACTGCTACTCCAGCAATGGGGCTTCCCCCTTGCAGGGGCCCTTAGTCCCAGTCTCTAGCACTCCCAAGACCAGCGTCATCAACCCAATCCCCAGAGACTCCAGCAATAACCAGGCAGACCCTCTCCAGACCTCTGAAATCCAACAACACAAGGGCTCCTCCTCTGAATTCTGGAAGTACTGACACCAGAGGTCTGAGTTCCAGCTTTACAATGCCTCTCCTCCAAGTTTAGGCCGTGATAATCCCAAGGGCTTCCCTTGTTTTGAGACCCAGCCCTCGCTAAGTGTTGTAGCTACTTCATCAGTTTACCTTTTATGCTACTTCACTGTTCCCTTTTGCTTTTTGTTGCTCCAACAGCTACTTAACCAGTCCCTCATATTAAATTTTGTTCAAATAATATGTGGCTTCTACTTCCCCAACTGGACCCTGACTGACAAATACAGCAAACAACCTAAGTTCTCAAAACACTGACCTTCCAGAATCACCCGCCAATGTGAGCTCATCATTCATCTCCTCCCTCCCCAGCTCTCCCAGTCTCAAAAAGAACTTCTCTGAATTTTCACACCCACCATCCTCACTCCCTTACCTTCTCGAGTGTCCCATGCCTCTGCAAGGATAGGAAAGGAGTACCCTCCAAACTTCCCCAGCACAACTTACTAGGACCCTTTATTTTACATGTGCAATCTCCAACTCCCAGCCCTCAATGATTCTTTTCTCAGCCTTTACATGTGGTAAACATCTCTCTACACCAGAGATCATTCCTGATCTTCTCCAAAATTTCGGACAACTTCTTCATTTTCTTCCCTTGCTCCTTTACCCATCTGTCTCTCAGCTAATTATCATACCACTGACTACAAGTACCAGGCAGATCACTAATATGCTTCGGAGATGTAAATGTCTAGCCCTGACCCTCCCTATCCTGGACGCTAAACCCACATTTTCAACCTCCTGATGTTATCACAGGAATGTCTCAGAAACACGTCAAATGCAACCTGGAAAATGAAGTAAGAACTTGCTATTTTCCCCCCAAATGTTTTCCCTATTTGGGGACATTGGCATTTCTACTCTGTTTGCCAACTTGAAAACAGTCTGCCTGCTTTCTGCTCACACTTTTCATGTTAAACTCTTCGCTGGTTGCCTCCGAGGCTGTCAATATACAGCTTGAATCCTTTACACAGGAAGCGCCTAGTCGATCCCCGATCTGGTCTGTGGCCCACATCAAACACCGAATGAGCACTTGCTAAGCGCTCAAATCTGAAGACAAGAGATGACTGAGAGTCACTGCCCCCACGGAGGTCACAGCTTTAACGGTGGAGAGGACCACATAATATGCCACAGTAGGTGGAGAAGCACAGGGGACAACATCTCCAGGACAAAGGCGCAGACACGAGAAGGGAACCGCCACAATTTTCGAACCTCTCCTAACCGTCACCTTCCACCGCGCACTAATTGATTCGCTTTCAGCGGTACTGGCCACTCCTGCAAGGATTCAGCAGGCCGGGTGAGTGTGCAGCTGGGGGGCAGAGCCCCCGCGCACCCCATGGCCCCAGGTGGAGACACGCCGGCAGAACGAGAACTTAAGGCTCGAGGGCAGCGGTGGTCACGCTGCCCTCCATTCCTGCGCCTGCAGCAGGCAGAGGTGGCGCGCTCGGGGGCTCCCGGCCTCAGCACGGGTCGGGAAGAGTCCCCCGAACGCTCACCTGACGCCGGGCTCCCCCCCAGACAAAGGAGCGCCCACCCTCGCCGCCCGGGCCGCGCGCAGCTGGCCTCGGGAGCCCCCGGGGTTGTGCACGCACCTCTCGGTCCGCGGCTCCCGAGCTCTCGCGCTGTGGCGGCGCACGCAAGGCCTCCG